GGTGTGTGTGTGTGTGTGGTGGTGTGTGTGTGTGTGTGTGGTGTGTGTGTGTGTGTGTGTGTGTGTGGGTGTGTGTGTGTGTGTGTGTGTGTGTGTGTGAATGCATTTACATATTTACACATGTGAATTGAAATGTGTGTGTGAATGCATTTACATATTTACACATGTGAATTGAAATTATTCTGAAATTATTTACTATACAAAAATTGTTTTAAACAATATAGTTATATGGCATAAAACACATATAATACAATAATTGATTTTCAATATTCTTTATGTATCAAATTTTGAAGTTTATCTTAAATGAAAAAAGACATATTCTTATATTTATAAAAGTCAAAAGAGTATCGAATATTAATTAAATAATAATGATAGTTATATTAAAAAAGTATCAGTTTACAGAAGACATTCTATACTTCATACTTTCTTATTTCGTATTTCTATAAAGTATACATATATGTGTACATGTGTATTTCGTGATATACATATACGTGTAGAACATTGTATGTATATAAACATATATTATCATCATCATTATATATCATATATGAATATCTCTTTCATTATTTTCTGATAAATTCACGCACACAACTCTTCCCAATTTTTAATCTTTTACTTATATTATGCCTTGTCATCTTTTATTTTAATTCTCTTTTTCTCTTATATACAAATAATTTTCATTAAACATAATAAAACATTTTTAATTGTGTATGTGGGCGATAATTAATGCAAAAATAAATACTTAAATACTTAAACTTGTTGTTTATTTTAATACAACTATTAAAAATAGATTGTGAAAAGAGATTCATTATTTATTATTATTTATTATTATCTATTTGTTAAGGATCCAAATATTATTAAGAAAGTAATATTTAAAGGTACTTCATCAAGAAAATGATGACTTATTCATACAAATAATGCAGATAATATCGGATCTATACGAAACCAGTTTATATTTCAAGTTTCATCTGGTTTTATATGTCCACTTCTATGTCCAGATAAAACAATGAAGTGTTTTTATTTTTGGTATACTCGACACTGTTAAAGAACAAGATTGTTAATTTAAAATTCTGAACTCGAAGTGTCTCTTAACATATTGTACTTTTAGAAAAGTTTGCGTTATAATTAAATTGTTTATCTCAAGTCTTTAAACATTTGGATCTTATTAATACTTCACGTACGTGCAATGCACGAAAATGTCAGACTTTTAAGAGCAAATCTGAAGAAATCCCGATGCACGAATGCAGATACAACGCGTTCGATTAGGAAAATGCCTAAACCGGAACTGAAAGTCATTAATGACGTAGAGTGTATAATTGCAAAGTTACGTGCGCGAGTTGTTCAACTTGGCGTATTTCATACGAGCTACATACAGTTTCATCATTCATCGTCTTTTGCAATTTGTATGGCTATGGTACAAGTTGCAAACTTTGCAACCTGTGTGGCTGATGCAAGCTTGTCATCTAAAAAGAATAGACTCCAAATAAACGAAATATACTTTACTTCTATTATTTCGATTTTTCAATTGTTTATCTTATTATCTTGTCATTGCACAAGCTCTATCTGTATAGTGTGACGATAAAAAAAAGAATATATTGCGAAAACATGCGATTATATGTGACGAAAAAACCATTACATGTAAAAAAAATTGTCTACTCGCAATCGTAAGGTCATAAGCAAATTTATCACAGCCAATTATCTTTGGATTATAAGAAAATTAATCGATTCTGATTGGTCAATTTGTCTATGATTGACTTTACGAATTAATGGCACGATTTAGAAAATCAGTTTTAAACTTAAAAAATTTCTACGAGCTCAGAATGTCTTTGTTAACTAAATTAAGTAAAATAGTATGTCGACGCTTTGTTTCTCTATAAAAAATTAATAAAGTTATACAAACCTAAGTCACAACAATAATTGTGCTGAAAAAAAATAATTTAAAAATTTGTCTATGAGATTTGAATTATAATGCTCTCGTACCATTCTACTACTTCAACCATATTAGGATCGAGAATGAACACAAAGAAAAAAGATTGTTAATTTTTTATAGAAAAGCAAAGTGCCATGTATTCATACCATTTTAAGTTAATAAAGACACTGAGCCGCTTATAAAAATTTTTGGTCTAAAATTGATTTTCTGATTCGTGCCATGCTCTCGTAAATATTTTTTACGTG